AATTAGAAGTATGCATATGCCTTCCCCTACTCAGTAGGCATGTAAAGAGTAATTGTTCTGATTATGAGGAAGTGAACCAAGACAGCCTTTATAAACTAAATTATTTATGAGGTACAGTCACATAGTTTGAATGTGTGTGTGTATTCTTATTAGAATGTCTTGTTTTTATCCTTGAAGGTACTAATTTTAGAAAAATACACAAATAGAATATCCTTATTGCAATAAAAGAAAAATTTATTAGACCTTTCTATCAGAAACAAAATATTGTCTACTTTCAATAAGAATATTAAATATGTAGGGCACTTTTGTTTTCATATTAATATTCTATTCACACTCTACATATGACCAATAACTTTAATATAGTTATTCTTTACATATATATACACACACTCAAACTGGTTAAAATGAACAGTGGAGTTCTCTTTTCTACTACATAATTTAAATATGGATAACTAAGCTTTGTCCTGGTTATATGTAAATACTTAATCCTTTAATTTGTAAATTTACTTAACAACAGTTTGAGGAGGAAAAATTGAGTTTAATGTATCAAATTTATTATATTGGCTGATACAATATGCACATTTGAAAACACTTAGCTGCCTTCTAATGAAAAATCCTTTCCCTTACCACTATTTTTTTCTAATTTTACTGTCAATGTTTTATATAAATATCAGTGATCTCACTTTTTTCTCTCCCTTCTTACTTTATCTTGTTTTTGTAATTTTTAGTAGAGAGTACATTGGTGGGGGGGGGAGAAACAAAAATAGGTAATGGGTTTAGAAAACCTCCTGATTATTGACGCCAATAATTCTTTTGACTGTCACTGCTATAGGGAGTTGATCCTGAGATTCTAGCAAGGTTAATGGGGAGGGGAAGAAAGGGACCCAGACCGGAAGTAGATGGTGTAAATGCTCCATTTCCCATTTTGAGACAGCACACCTTTGTAATCCAGGGCACACCCTTGCTAATCAATGCTTCACATCAGAAAATGTTCGTTATTTGGCAAACTTTCAACTTCATAGACAGACCGACCATCCTTGGTGGTCCTGAAGGCAGAAAACCAGGAATGTTTGTGTCCTGATTGTCGGCTGTCTTTCTAGAGTTACCTGTACCATTAGAGGTGTGGAAGCTCAGTGAGATACTAAAGAGTCAGCAGAACCCTGTAGTCTGTGGTAAAGCTGCAAGGCTGCAGAACTCTGGCCTGAAATCAAGCCTTGAGTCCCCAGTTCCTGACTTATGAATGCCTTGTGACTCGTGAACAACTGACTGGACATTTTCTCTTCCTATTCTCACCTACTGCAGTCTGCTCCAACCCTCATCTTGTAATCACAACCACTTCCACAAGACGAGATGACTTGTGCCCCTTCCTGAGGTTCACATGAAAAGCTGTCTGTTTTCACATTTCTTTTCCACAACCTTGATTCTAACATCTTAATAGACCTGGGACCAAAGACCTATGTAACATCTTCCTCTTTTAAAAAATTTTTATTCTTTTTTTTTGGGTGGGGGGAGGGAGGTTTAAATACATATAAAATGTAGCATCTTAACAACTTTTAAGTGTATATTTCAGTGGCATTCTGTAAAACAGAAACTCTATACTCATTAACAATGACTCCCCATTCCCCATCCCCCATCAGCCCTTGGTCTCTATGATGCTGACTTTTCTAAGTGCCTCATATAAATGGAATCAAACAGTACTTGTCTTTTCCCCTTTTTCTCTACCTTTCCCAAATCCCTTTAATTTACTTCAAACATGACCCCTCTCATGGGAGAAGTCATTCTTTTTTAATCTCTTCCTTACTCTTTTCCTCTGGGGGAAAAAAATTAAACCCTGCCTGGCCTCTCTTCCCTTCTTCATTCCATTTATAAGCCTCCATTAAAAAAAGAGGGGGATGGGAAACCACTGGGATAATAATTTTCTGATTCTTTTATATGAGTTTTGAAATGTGATTAACCATACAAGAGAACTAGATGCCAACATCCAAAATCTCTAAAATGGCCCGAAGTTCTTTTTAAAAAGTCTTCATAAAAGTTTCAATTTAACTCTTTCATCTTGATTAAACTTATTTCCCTTAAGCAGGAAGTGTCTTTTAACTCATTTGTATTGCTTTTTCTTTGGAGGCTCTCAGTACTCCAATAATAGTGTTTGAAGAGAATACCCTGGGAAGTGTATAACTTTCAACCGTGTTGTGGGTTAAAGAGATTTTTGAGGATGAGAGTCAACCAAATCACAACATTTAATACTGTGTCTCTAGGAAAGTATTCTCAGTTCCACACAGCCCCTAAGAAATGAACTTCTGGAATACAAGTTATTTATAAAAAGGGGACTGAGTCTGTGTTATATACTTCCCAGAGATTTTCGTTAGCAATACAGAACTGAAAGCTTTCGGCCAACTCAATGCCACAGGACACACAGTGAAGCCGACAACCAGGTCACAGCACCAGCATGTCCTTCAGACCCCCTGCTGGAATATATGGCCAATAAAGTTCAAGACCCAACTAGTCAATAGGCTGAACCTATAGATTCTATAAACATTCTATGATTCTGAACAACTATACGGTTTTTTGGATGTATTTTCTTGCACTGCATGTTAAAGAAACATATGGTTCACTACAGCACGTATAGACTTTGAAGACCCCACGGGAGAGGGCACTGAAGTTGGAAAAGATTGCTTTTGTTTTTGTTTTTTTTAAGATTTATTTATTTATTTGACAGAGAGAGAGAGAGAGAGAGAGAGAGACAGTGAGAGAGGGAACACAGCGGTGGGAATGGGAGAGGGAGAAGCAGGCCTCCCGCCAGAGCAGGGAGCCTGATGCAGGGCTTGATCCCAGGACCCTGGTTTCATGACCTGAGCTGAAGGCAGACGCTTAACGACTGAGCCACCCAGGCGCCCCTGAAGTTGGAGAAGTTTTCCAAGAGAACAAGTCAGAGCTACAGAAGCAGAAGCCAGCCAGCTAATTGTATTGTTCAGCAGAAGCTGAACATACAGAGGGATACCAAAAACCATTAAAGGGCTACAAAACAAAAGTTAAAGAAACTCCCAACTCTTGCATAAATTGCCAATTTAAAGAACACATTAGCTGATGGTCCAATGAATCTCTGAGCTGGGAATGTTGATGAAGAAGTTCTGATCTGGGGGCGCCTGGGTGGTGCAGTAAGTTAAGTGTCTGACTCTTGGTTTCAGCTCAGGTTGTGATCTCAGGGTCATGAGATCGAGCCTAGTGTGAGACTAAACTCCATGCTCAGTGTGGAGTCTGCTTGGGACTCTCTCTCCCTCTCCCTTGGTCCCTTCCTCCCCATCTCTCTAAAATAAATAAATAAATCTTAAAAAAAAAAGTTCTGATCTGAACAGGAAAGTAAGTACAAATAGCAATTGAGATCAAGCTACTAATAGGGCAACAGACATGCTAACAAGCAGCCTACTTTTTTCTTCCCAAAGGTCTGTGTGGGACTGGAGGCAGCTGCCTTGGTCAGGGAGCCTAGAGATCCGTCCCTTTGCAATTAATGGAAAAGAAAGAAAGTGGCTTCTATTGACTTTTGTTTGCCATCTCGTGTTTTGGGCCAAGCCATTTGTCACAAAGAACATTAACTCACTCTCTAAACTCTTTTGAACTCTTAGAGCCACTTTCACGTTATTTAGCACTTAACTCTCCAGTCTCATATTATTCTTTGAATACTTGGTACACACAAATCTGGCCTCCTCATTAGAATCATAAACAACTTAAAGGCAAGTAAATTGACTTGCACTTCATTAGACTCTCCCATATACCAGGGCGCCTGGGTAGCTCAGTTAAAGCTCGTCTGCCTTTGGCTCAGGTCATGATCCCACGGTCTTGGGATCGAGAACTACATTGGGCTCCCTGCTCAGTGGAGAGCCTGCTTCTCCCTCTCCTTCTACCCCTCCTCCCTGCTTGTTCTCTCTCTCTCTCTCTCTCTCTCTCTCAAATAAATAAATAAATAAAATCTTAAAAAAAAAAGATTCTCCCATATACCTACACACAGCTGGGCACAGATGGGGTATCTGACAAACACAAGTTGATTAAATCACAGGATGATGTCCTCACATAGAGTCACAAGACTTAGAGCAACAAGAACTCCACATACCAATCTCAGCCCAACTTCCCAGGAAAAGCATGGATGGAAATTGGAAGCTTGGCCGTCACCAGGAGCCACAACGGGGTAGAGAAATCCTGAGTCCTGTGCACAGGGGAAACTGCTTACCACCTAGAGACTCCAAGCTCTGTGACAGCAGGAACTGTGTTTTGTTCCCTACCCAGCACCAAGCACCTAGCAGGGGCTCAGAAAACATGTTGAATAAATGAAAAATATATGAAACCCTTTGGTCTCTTGGATTAGTGTCCCCACACCTTGTGTTTTCCTTCATTCATCATTTATCACTAAGCCGCAAAAGTTAAAATGACTCCAGAAAACAAACCAACATGGTACCCACATGGTACACAGGGAGGTGTGTACTTCCTCTTGGACCTGCCCAGGATGTATCAAGAGGGGAGGAGGAGGAAGGTCACTGGCCTGCTAGCCACAGGTCTGGGGCTTGCTGTGGAGGGATAATAGCTGCTCTCCTTGAGAGAAATAGCTGGATGTCAGATCAAGCTCTTGGCAGCCCCCAGGCAGTGGAACATTGCTCTGCATGGTCCCTGTCTGGCTGGCAGCTTCCTGCCAGGGAAGGCTGCCAAGCGGGTTGTGACAGCTGTGCAGTGCACAAATCTCCAAGGTTCTTTGGTGCACTGCCATTTCTGACCTGCCTGTCTGCTACTCGTGGGAAGTAGCTGGGAAGTTCTGGTGCTCAGGGACCCCATTTTCCATTGGCTTTCATTTTTTAGCAGAATGCCTGACTATCCTGTTTTTTAAGATGGGAGTCACTGGAAGATGGCCTTTAGCTTTTCTGGTCAACATGAACCTATTGATTCTGTGTGGGAAGAAGAACTACATTTCACTCTGTTCCGTAAGTGTTGGTTTTCACTGTGACCACATGACCACACTTGTTTACAAGCATCTTATCACAGTAATTGACATCTGTCATAGACTACCACTAGGAGAAACCCTATGTCTGAATAATTTTTTTTAATTAGCAATAATTGCACCTCGGATAAACCCCATTGGCTACGATACTGCCACTGCGCAAAGCTTGAATAATTTTTTTTTAATTAAAGATAGTCTTGTAACCATTTACTTCTTTTGAAAAAGAAATGTCAAAATCTTAATGCTTATTACTTGAATGTTTACATCTTACAGGATTTTGATAAAGGACTACTTTTTTATAGTTTGTTAAAACGGCAACTTTTATTTAAAATTGCCAATAAGTAAACTCAATTTTCCATCAAGAGATGCACAGATGTTAACTTAGATTCCTTTCTGCACTGAAAGATGAAAGTTAAAAGTGAAATTTCAGATATTACCTTTTAGCATCATTCGTCCAGTGGATCCTCCAAAAGTACTGAGTAGGCCACTTCTAGCCCCCAAAGATGTGGTTGCTTCTAGGAGAGAACCCGTGATGTATTGAGATATGGACGTCCTCTGCAGGGTGGCACGGTACTCACATAGGGTGTCTCGGACACACTGCTTTAAGCATGGACTAACGCTTATCCTTTCATGGGCTGTCTCGGAGGCTGGGAGCTTTGTGAAGACATGGAGAAGAGATCCAATTGTATTTTCTATTTCTTCTCCCCTTCTCACTGCATTGTAGATCTGTGAATAGCACAGAGTACAGGAAGTATTAATCTAGTTTCTTAGAAAAGCAAATTAGTTTGTTGACAAAATGCCAAGATGACTTATTAAGAAAGAAGGCTCAGTTGCTCTAAGCGCAAACACTCTTGAGCCTTGGACTCATGCATTAACCTGAACATTCTACAGACACCATTTATTTGGAAAAGCTATGTGTAGTTATGAAATCGGCCATTCAAACAACCCTGCTATCAAACAGAGCACTTACAAGTTGTTCCAACCAAAAATATATTCAGCTCAAATTTCTCCTCCTCCTCCTTAGTAGAGCAAAGCGTTTATGCAGAGTGACAAAGTCAAACCTTCCCTTTTTGTCCTTTTGGACTCTCCTGAGTGCCTGACTGTCCCAGGTCTGTCTGCCTCCAAGGAAACTTGAGCTTGACATTCATGAGGAATCTTTTCTCTATGCTCAAACTGCAGTGAGGATGAGAAGGTCAGGGGAAGGGGAAGTTCTATATTTCTCTCTTTGGTATAATCCTTCAATCCATCAGCTTGGTTCAAAGTCTTTGAATCCTTTTTCCCTCTTCATCCTGTTTCACCTCCCACATCCAATGAGTTGACAGATCCTGCCCACTCTTCCCGCTCTGTCTGTCACCATCCTGATTTCCTCTCCCCTATCACCTGAATTCACCAAGAATTATCTCAAGGAGATTGCACAATTAGGACAGGCTTCCAGCCATAATTCCAATACTGTTGTTCAACATGCATTTATACAGATCCTGCTCTGTGGGAGGCAGTGCACTGAAAGATGGGGGGCATGCACAAGGAGCAGCACACACCTCCTGTGCTGAAAAACTGCACAATCTAATTTAGAAGATGGGGCCTGAAAATTATGAGGTTTGACAGTTTGACAGGTTGCAGGGAGGTTCTGGGTTTTGTGAAGGTCTCTGGGAAGCCTGAGACTTCTGGATGGTATATAAACAACAGGGAAGAAATACAACATGGGTGAGTTAGTATAGTTTTCTGATAGTGGAATAAAAGTTGAGTATGTTGTGTTGTCTCCGCCTTGAGCACCTTGCCTTGTCATTCATTCATCAAATCAACAAGTAGTTATTTTGTATTTATATACCAGGTATGTGTCAGGTCCAGGTAAATAAGACAGCTTTTCCCCTCAGAGAGTTCAAAGTCTAATAAGGGAGACAGATAAGCAAAGAGTTCATAGTAGGGTGAAAATGGAGGTCAATCCCTCTAGTGACATCAATGAGTATTCAAGGAAGAGAAGACCCTCACATGTCCTGCAGGCTGTGCATGTGCCCCTGTGATGCTGCACACTCCAAATCTCACGTTAATCAGGACCCACCGGCACTCAAGAGGACACCCACTGAGCTGTGCTAGGTCCTTAGGAGACCCTAGAATGTTCTTAGAACACCCCTGATATTCAAACTGCACTGACTCTAACTAGATTTCTATTCCGCCTTCTGCAGCCTACTGGTAGATATTTGCCACTTAAAGGAAGAGTCTGAATTCTTGAGCTTTAATTCTCTGTCATTAAATTTCTGGTGGCCAGTGTGGCCATGGAGATATTGTGCTGGGACAGAAAGAGCCCAGGCCTTGGGGTCAGGTATGTGGGGTTGTACGGCTGGCTCTGCCTTGACCAGCTAAAGAGAGGGTCATAGACATGAACAAGCTGACTTGAATGTTCAGAGAAAGCTTACTCTTCTGTAAAGTGGAAATACTAACACCCCTTCTTAGGAACACTGTGGGATTCACCAAGATCATATATGTAAAGTGCTCAACCTATTGTCTACAAATGGCACCCATTACTATGGAGCAAGAAGAGAGTGGACTCTTCCATCCTCAACGAATAGCAGGTGGTTGTATAACAACAGAGCACAGTCTATGAAATTCACCGTGATGGGGTTGTACCCTTGCTCTTCTGTGCTGCTGCATAATATCATCCTAACCTTATTTGGGTGTATTGTGAGGGTAAACTGGGGTTGAGAGTTGCAGAACTCAGGACATGCCTTTCTTCTCTCAGTTCCAAATCATACAGGCAATCTCCAACACACTAAGTCTCAGATGAATCCTTCAGAAGTTTAAATGCTCTAGGAGTTCAGAGAAAAGAACCCACTGTGAGGTTTGATGGCTAAGGAAGGCTTCTGAGGAAAGCAGATTTGAGCTGTGCCTTGGAAAACAGGCACGGTTCTAATCAGAGCACCTGGGGGAGGCAACTCACATGGTAAGCAAGGGTGAAGAGGCTGGAAAACAGAAAATACCCTAAGGACAGTAAGCAGAGCAGGGTATTTAGAGCAGAGAATGAGTATAAGGCAGAGAATAAGTGGGAAATCAAAAAGGTCAGCTGGCCTGATAAAAGAGAGCCTTGAATGTCAGGCAAAGAGGTTTAATCCATCAGAGGTGCAGAAAGTTTCACTTCTTTGGTTTATTTGTTTTTATTAGAGGAATGATGCTAAAAGGGCTTTATTTTACGAAGTTTAATATGCTGATGGTTCTTAGTTACTAATGGGCTTACCTATTACCTACTTTCTTTACATGCCAAGCTGCTCCATTGGCTCATCATGCCTCACTCGTTACCTTATGCATTCCAGTTTCCACAACACTCCTTCAGAGATTCCCAGTGGCTCATTCAGTCCCTTATCCAGCTTTCCCTAAATGTTTTCCTCAGATCATTAGATCTAGAAGGTCTGTAGGAAATAAGGACTCCTTGATCACTGAAATACTCAGTATTTATTTCTCCTTTTGAAGATTTACATTGCATATTAGGATATTAAAGACAATGAAAAGGGTCAGAGTAAAGAAATCCATCTTATATTGTTTAACTGAGTGTTTGGAGTATTTATGATGTTACTTGACCATGGATTTCTTTTTCTTTCTTCCTTTCTTTTTTTAAGAACATAGTATGTGAACGTAGTCTTGTATCAAATAATTATTCTCTTTTCCTTGACCTCTGTGAAATCTCTGAAATAGACAATCATCCATCTTTCCTGAAGTCCTGTCTCTTTTATTATCTTACTGCTACATCTCTGCGTTATTCTGTGGCTCCCCTTCCTCCGTGGGCCTTTGGGACAGCTGTAACATAATACAGATGTGCCACCCAGTGACTGATATAGGGGGGTGACATATTGGCTGGCCATGGGTCAGATTTATCAAAAGACCCGTCTGATCTGACACATAATGTTTTAAAATCAGGAAAGTGGGGAACCTGGCTGGCTCAGTTGGTAGAGCATGCGACTCTTGATCTCAGGGTCCTGAGTTTTTGCCCTATGTTGGGTGTAGAGATTACTTAAATACATAAATAAATCTTTAAAAAATCAAATCAAATCAGGAAAGTTTACATACACATTTGAAGTTACAGCATTTCCTAAAAACTGGAACAATCTGGCAACACTGAACATTCCCATCTGGTATCAAATGGCTAGACCTTTCCCTGTTGCCTGGGGCATGAGTTCTCCAGTTGGCACCAGTCCCCACCCCTCTCTAGTGATCACATATTGCCAATATCTGGTCACTATTAGTATATAAGTGTGTGATCCATGCCTTAATGGAATATGAACATGGTTGTAGCTATATACAATAAACCGAGCTCCCCCGACATGTACTGAGTTCCCCCAACATGTCCTCCTAGGTGATCTTCCCTTTGCTAGTCTGCTCTCAAGGGGTGTCGCAGTTTATCTCCAACATATGTAAATGTTATGTATGTATTAAATAATCATGCAGCATTGCCATCAGCCCCTTGTTTCCAAGTCCTCAAACTTCTCTGAAGAAATAAAGATAAAGAGTTCTAGAATAAACTCTACCACCATTGCTAACACTCCATTAAAAACAAAAAAGAATCTACAGGTTCTACCAAGATCTGGACCAACACTTGCCAGTCACACCAATCCCGGGTAAGCTTTAATAAGGTACCTGTTAGAAGGCTGAAAAATGGATCAAGTACTGGTAGACATGGCGATGCTCGGGGAACATGTTAAAATCAGGCTATAAACTCTTATTAGATCATCCACACTTACAAAAAAAGAAGCAACCATGGAAAGTCCCACATATATAGAGTGGGAAGAAGATGTAGTATAGAACAGTCATTATAAATACAGCTTTGGAGTGTTGGTTTGAATCCTAGCACCCCTGCTTCCCAGCTGTGTGACCTTGGATAAGTTCATTCTGTGCCTCCTTTTCTCCAATATGGAATATAATAGTATGCCTCATAAAGTTGAGGTAAGGATTACAAACTTTTATAAATGTAACTGATTAGAACAGCACCTGCCACTTAGTAAATGCTCAACAAATACTGTTTTTTACAATGATGGCAACAATGTTGATTGTGGTAGACTGTAAAAATGGCCATAAATTATTTCCTTCACTGATTCTAGGCCAGTCCTGTGATTTGCTTAACCAATGGGAATTTAGCAAATGTGATGCATGCCAAGTCTTGAAAAATACTTGTGCATTCGAC